TTCAGCAGCATGATTGTGTTACCTCCTAGAAAAATTCAAATTGCAACGTCGAAATAATTCCAAAATCACCACACTTTATTGCTGATTTTCTTTCCTTCATAGTGTTACTATGTAGACCTGGTTTCTGCAGATGGTTTTGTTAAAACAGGCCTCAGTTTTCTTGGTGAAAAGTGGGACTGTAGCCCCGGGGTGATGCAGGGAGGTAGGGCAAGAGCAGACAGGGAAGACTGCAATCCCAAATATGCACTCTCCCTTCCGCTTGGCAAATGTAACCAGATGCTAGCAAGCCATTATTGCCAGTCCATCCCAAAGAAAATCAGTTTGCTTTGTTTCAGTTTGCTTTTGTTTCTCGCTCATTATTTATAACATTCGTTTGTCATTTTTTGTCATTTTATAGAGCTTCCGAGAGCAGCTGTCAGGATCTTAAGCAACATGACATTCCTTTTTGTGAGTTTGTCATACACAGCTGAGAGTGCCATTGTCACAGCTTTTATTACCTTCATTCCCAAGTTCATCGAGTCACAGTTTGGCATCCCAGCTTCCAATGCCAGCATCTACACTGGTAAGGCATTGCCACGTAGTGTAACCTTGCAAGGATTGGCGTTCTTTGGCTAATGATATTAATCAATGCAGGAATGAACTAAAAATGTGCTTGTTGGAACAGGTGGTTGGATCCAGCTTTGTTCATTTGGTTAGATATTCAGGCCGGTTTTTGATCTTTGCTGTATGTGTTTAGTAAAATGTGAACTAATTTGTATTGTTAAAGGGCTGGGCTTTTTTTCTGCATAAGCCAAACCAGGCATTTTCTAATACGTTAGTGATCATCGAGGTGGAAAAAAGCGAGAAAAACAAGCTGGAAAACCCATAGGCATTACTGCAATTTGTGTGCCTTAAAAGATTCTTTTAAAGCTCTTCTTGTTTTCTCTGAGTTTTACTTCCTCTTTGATCTTTAAAATATCTTAATCTTTCTGTTTTCCCTGGTAGCGACTTATTTATCTGTCCCATCCTTCAGTTATCTCTACCCTCCAGGCTGGTGGTTTTCTCCTTATTTACTTATTGACACTGAGTGCACAGCGATCTAGACTAGTCAGGAGAGCTCCCCGCATCCTCTCCCACCTGTCATTTCAGCTCTGAGACCCTTCTTTGGCAGGGCTGGCACTTCCCCTCCTGCCACAGCACTGCACGGCCAAGTCCCAACTTCTGACAGAGCTACAAACCACAAAATTTTAAACTTCATGCTTCTCTGTGGGAGGGAGAGATGTGAACTTCCTTTTTTAAAGAGGCCAAAAATGTGTGGAATTTGGGCCCATGTCACACAGATCGTCTCCTTTCTCCTAACTGCCTCAGTCATTTGTCTTTGTCAGCATCTTTTTGACTTCTCCATAGCGCTTCCTGTATAGAATGGCTGCTCAATGATTGATGGGGCAGTGATTCTCTCTGAAGCTTGGCACAGCTACACACACATAGGAGTGTTACTGTAATGAATCTTGATGGGATTGCTACTCTGTAACTTGCTTAATTCTCAGGATAAACCAGAAACATTCTTGCCAGACAAAATACTCAACAGCCAGTACATTAAAGAGGAAGAAATGTTGTGACCCTGTCCAGGGTGTGAAGCTATTAACATCTGTTGTTTTCCCTGTTTTAAATTACTTGATAAAGACTAAAGCAATGAGTTAGAAGAAGAAACAGCTCGGGCAGGATGTGCAACATGGACCAGTGAGAACTGCTTCCACAACCCCAGTTCCTTGACTTAACATTAAAGTCAACAGTCGTTATTAATTTCATAAGTTGTTTTTATAGGAAAAGGGGAAAAGGAAACTTGGATATTCTGTATTAGATTGCTAATAATGTCTAATAATAGTCTAATAATAGTCTAATAATAGTCTAATAATGCCCAGTTTGCAAACTGCTGATTAGCTAAAGAAGGGCTTATATGTTATTTATATTACTACATCTATACCTCATATATACATTGACAACTGAGTACATGTACTTGCTTCATGTGACCAATGTAAAGTTTTTATTGGTAATTTTCTCTCTCAAATAATAAGCAGCAATTCTTTAATTAAGTCTCAATTTCTTTCTGTTTTTAAACAAACCTGGCATTAATTATCAGCAAAAATGCCATGTGCCAAACTTCATGTTTGAACTTGTGCAGCTTCACACAGAATCATAGAATGTTAGAAGTTGGAAGGGACCTCAAAAGATATAGTCCAACCCCCCTGCCAAAGCAGGATCCCCTACAGTAGGTCACACAGCTACACGTCCAGGCGGGTTTTGAATGTCTCCAGAGAAGGAGACTCCACAACCTCCCTGGGCAGCCTGTTCCAGCTTGTGCTGCAATCTTGTCTTGCAAGGAGTTTTATCTTCTCTGTGTAGAGCAGGTGGCATTTAGCTTCCAAGCTTTCTTAAGTCCCTGGCAAAAAAGAGAACTTTGACTTTAGATTACAGATAGATCTTAGACAAAGCCAGATTAAAATTTCAGGGGCTTTACTTGTGAAAAAGAGGGTTACAGTTCATATAATTTGTAATTGGAAGAATTGCGCATTATATATTATAAAGTGCTGTTCTGGTAACTTACGTTAGAAAGGTTAGAAAGGTGTGGGATCTACCTTTAGTTTTAGAAATGATATCCAAAATAGGATTGGTTTGAAAATCTCCAGTTTTCCCTTTGGGAGTGTAGCCTGCTTAACAGATACTGCAGTTTTCTGTTCCCAGACTATTATTTGCTGTTAAGATCCATCTTTTCGCTGCTGTGGCAAGCCTCAAGTGCTGCAGCGTCCTGACAAGAGCAAAAAGGACAAAGCTTGAAAATTGCTGACTGAAAGCTGATATTGCCGCAGAGCACTGAACCCAGGAGTGTACGTGCATATAGCACATGCACAATTCCTGTAAGCCAAACTGTCATTATGAAATAAAGGAAAGTGTAGTGCAACAGCTTAGTATCGGTTCTTAAGCTTTATTCCTCTTAATGCCTTTGAAAAAGAAGAATATGTGCCCCGGTTAGACGTGCATGCTCCGCTTTGCCCTGGAAGCTCATCTGGCAGTGCACTATAGTAGCTGTGTTTCTCTGACAGTACATCACTTCTGATTTCACATCTCCTGCGTACGAGGAGGGGCATAATCTTGAAGAGTTTGTACTTAGGGCAAAGAACCTGTCAGGTTTACTGACATGTAGGAGGGAGTGAGCTCTTCTCTCTGCTGCCTTCACCCCAAACAGTGAAATCTGTCTGCTCCTGCCCTTCCCATTTCTCCCAGAGAGAGTTTGTGTGGAAGAATTAGTCTTTATACTTCTTCTATGTAAACTTTCCTTTACCTTCCATCCTACTGAATGAGAGCGAGCCTTGGTGGGCAATTTGCTCATGCTCTGCTTCTAATTTTTAGTATTCTGATCTTTGTGGTGTGGCAGAGGATAGACGAGATCAGCAGTGCATTGTAACTCTCTGATGGAAGGACCTAATGCCTCACAAAATATTTACATGCTCAATTTTGACAAGGTACTAGCCATAGACGCGTTTCTCAGTATAGGTGCCCTCAAGAGAATAAGGAAGAAAAAGTAAATTCAGGTCCAGAAGAGGTTAAGAACTCAAACTATAGGTGGAAGGAAGAAGATAAAAGACTGAAGTTAATTTACTGTCAGTAAGTCCTTCCCTTGGGCTAGATCCTTAGTTCATGTAACAGATGTAGCTGTTGATTTGGTCCATGGAATTTGACTCACCTGACAAGGATGTTTGAAAAGGCATTGCAAGGGGTTCCAGCCTGCCTTCAGCATGGATGTGGGCTTCTCTGACACAGATTTTGTAGGTCAGGGCATGCCTGGTAAACTCACATGTCTGAGTTACCATTTTCACTCAGAGAGAACATTTTCAGGGCAAGTAAAAGGATTTGCATTATTTCTTTCCCTCATTCACATTCAGTCATTGAATGTGAGAGATATAAGAGCTCGAGAGAGGTAACAGCTTTGAACTTTGTGAAAATCGTTTAATTCTCCTAGAAGGACTTACACATTTAATTTCTGCTTTTATGATAAAGACTGGTTTTGATTTTGTGGAGGGTTATTATTAAGAATCTTCCTCATGAAGTGACATTTTATTTTATAATGCCATTGATGATGGCAGTATAATTAAGGTCGCAACTATTTTTACCTCTTATTTTTACTTTCATGATCTCAACACTTTGATAAAGGTAATGTCCTCTTCACCTTTTTGCAAATTATTAGAGAATGAGAAGGCTTTGCAATAATATTAAAGACATTTGCAAGCGATAGTCTTGCTGGCTTCTTTAAAAAGAGGATCACCTCTTTAAGAATTTAGATTATAAAGTTTAGCACCTTTTCTGTAGATGCAACTGCTAGAAGTTGTTCAGATTCCATATTTATATGGAATACATCTTTATTAGCTAAGACCTAATTTAAAGACCTTCCCACATGTCAGTGAGAAACAAGAGCCAAAGGAAGTGAAGAAGCACAGGACATTCACTGACCCTACACAACCTCAAGCCCTGACAAGTGAGGACAGCCCGGTGATGTGTTGCTGAACTGCCACTTTATAACTGTAGCAGCAGAGCAACAGGAGTTTCATAGGCACTTCTGTGTCTTAAACTTACCCTGATACTAGTTCTAGTATCTTAATTTTTTTAATCGTGTTTGATCAGTTTACACTTTATGTGGCTGTGCTAAAATGAATCGAGCTGCTGATGAAGGAAAGCACTGTTCAGTAAAGTATCCAGAAAGCAGAATTTGCAGACAAACTCAAGTGTGCACTCCCAGATGGATAGACTTTGGGTCCTGCCTGAGTTTAGCACTTGTGCTTCTCTGGAATTAATCATGAGTAGGAAGAGGAAGATTTGTGTCCGAATTTGGATTTTTTCAAATTTTCGGTAGTTAAACGAGCAATTTGTAGCCCTTCACCCCATTCTAAAACAAATACAAAGCAATGTTTCTGCTCATCAGTACAATAGTTCTCTTATAGTGCTTTGGCTGCTGGTAATATCATAAGGAGGCTTTTATTAATTCTTTGACAACACTCCAGAGGTTTCCAAAGTCTGACTCAGTTTGCTCGCAGAGAATCAGACAATGGAGATCTTGATGCAGGATTTGCAGTCATCTAGATAGGGGATGAAACCAATATTTATGTTTTATACCATTTCTATAGGTCCTGTTTTAATGTTGCTCGAATTTCTTCCCCGCAGGTGTGATTATTGTCCCAAGTGCTGGTGTTGGTATTGTCCTAGGTGGCTACATTATAAAAAAACTGAAACTCGGTGCAAGAGAGTCTGCAAAGTTGGCTATGATCTGCAGTGGTGTATCTCTGCTGTGCTTTTCAACTCTCTTCATTGTTGGATGTGAAAGCATTAATCTAGGGGGAATAAATATACCTTACACGACTGGGTAAGTATCTTGGAATCATCTGTGGCAAAACCAGCTTTTTCCAATAAGCCTGAGAAATAAATCTAAAAAATGCTGATGGCTGATGTCCTGAAGAAGCCATCTTCAAGTGAGAGTTTGGTGAGTATTGTGATATAAACACATCCTGTTACTGTGTGGCCCTTTGGTTTAACATCTAGTTTATAATGAAGCTTATATAATAATACACCTTTCCTAGGGATGGAAAAATGCATTAGAATGGTCTTCAGTGGTTTTTACAGGAAAGTAAGAACAGTGTCCTCTGTAGATTGCTCAGAGTTTGCTTGGTATTTCAAAAAGTTTTGTTTTCTGCTCATGAAAAATTTGAAAATTTGAAAAGATTTTACCTGAATAGATTTGCTTATTAACACCATAACAGTCTTAGGTCTACAGTCCCTACTTGAGAGGAATCAGTTGGGCACATGCTATCGATATTAACAGTGTGTACTGCTTCTGAACCTGTTACTGGTTGCATGCATGCCATCTGGTGCTTATTGGATCATCATCAAGACAGCAACTAGATCATAACCCTTAAAGACACGTTGTGAAAGAAGAAGGCTGTCATGAAATGTAGGAAGGTATTGGGAGTGAGGGATTTAGGTTTTGACCTTAAGAAGTGCATGGAAGGGTATTTTTTAAAAAACAATGGATATTTGGAAAGAAGGTGGTGTGGTAAAATTTGGGAGAAGGTATTTCACTGAAAGATAGTTCCTCAGAAGCGTAATGATGAGCTTTTATTTTCTTTTGTACATTAGCTTTTCCCTAAAGCTGCCTGCTTCATATACATTAAACACAAGAACAGACTAAGTGTTTGAAGGATCCAAACTTACCTAAAGCAATATTTTCCCCTTTGCTTTTACACCTGGGATGAGGTCTTCCTTTTATTTATGTCCGGGTGCTGGTTATCAGATCTGTTTGGACATCTTGCTTTTTAAGGCTCAGCTCTGGATTCTTAACATTTTGAGGTTTGGAGGAGTGTAGAAGTGCAGAGCAGAAAAAGAAATGATTGAATGGGAAAGAAAGAACTTGAGTGGGGCAGTGAGCAAGCCAAGTGAAAAACAAAGAGGTAAAATGGCAAGCAAGGGAGGAAGCAAATAAGCACTGTTTACATAGAGAATATTTTGCATTGCATGTTGCTGGGCTTTACTACCTTGCTGTCAATCCCTAAATCTAGTGTAAGGAAAAACAGCAACTGAAAGTCACAAGCTGATGGTAAGCTGAGTTACTCCTTTGTGTTCTTAATGCTTAGAGTTAAAGCTGGGTGCTGAGGGGCTATCTGTAGAAAGGAGTAGCATGGTGATATATCTTCCTCTGAGCATAGTGGGCTGCATAAGGAGAGAACAGGGATGGGAAGGGGGTGGAATGCTTTGATTTTCCACCTTCTGTTGATGTTTGTGACAGCCTGTGGGCGTAGATGAAGAACTGAAGATTATCTGGAATTAAAACATAAATTTCAGATAGCAGTTATTTGAACTGTGCAGCAAGTCAAAGTGTCCCTGCCAGGCTAATGACAAGGTTTCTGTTGGGGAAAAGGTGCAATTTAAGTTAAAACTATTTCTAAATTGAAGACAAGACAAATTCTTGCTATATAACATATACCCTTCCCACTGCAATTGTAAGAGTATTTATTTTTTTTACAGTAAGTAATAACATTTGAAATAAATGCATAGCATGAGTTGAAATAGGCATCTATTCACAGCTGTTCTAAAAGTCTGCAGTAGCATTGCTTCTTTATCACCTACATCTAATTTTTCTTATTGAGAAAAGAGGGGAGAGATGGCAATGGCAGAATTCTCAGAAGTGCTGAGATATATCAACTCTCTGAAATCAGCATAAAAATCAGTATGTTTAGACTATAATGTCATCCAAATAGAGAATTATCAGCATGTTATAAAGCATGGTTCAGGAGTTTGCAGCCCCAACCCTATATAATTTTCTTAGAGCAGAGATCAACCCCAAATTTATTATAAAAGCGATATTAAAAAAGCAGCACTACACTGGAATATCTGACATGATAAACTTTCTATTAATCTTCATGGTCCGTTATTTGATATCTTCAAATCATTTACTTGGTAGTCAGCTCTTTAACTCAGACATCAAGGAATGTTATTGTTTATGTAACTAAAAAGCATGCTTTCGTTTTGAGGTTTAATAAAGCACATACTTCATTCTCTAGTTCCAGTGCGGTGTATGGACAACAAAGCCAACAGGCTAGACTGGATAGGAGAAGCAGTGTGGATTCTTGGTTCACGGTAAACCTTAACGTGCTCTGCCAGCATTGTCTCTGAAGGCAGGTTTGATGTTTGAGCACAGTGTAAGGAGCCCTGTGTCAAACCACGATACAGCATCCCTTCTCATGCACCATAACCAGCACCCAAATGGGAAGTCCTGAATCTGTGAATTGTCACCTTGTCCACATGGCTTTTGAGCCAAGGAGGGAGTCTCCACAGCCTCCCTGGGCAGCCTGTGCCCCTGCTCAGTCACTCGGGTAGTGAAAAAGCATTTCCTGACATTCAGAGGGAACCTCCTGTGTTTCAGTTTGTGCCCATTGCCTCCGGTCCTGTTACTAGGCACCACTGAAAAAAGCCCAGCCCTTTGCACCTTCCCTTCAGGTATATACGTACCTTGATGAGATCCCCCTGAGCCTTCTCTTCTTCAGTCTGGAGACTCCAGTTTCCGTCTTTCCTCAAAGAAGAGATGCTCCAGTCTCTTAACCATGTTAGTAGCCCTTCTCTGAATTCTCTCCAGTATGTTCATGTCTCTCTGGTTCTGGGGAACCCAGAATTGGACCCAGCACTTGAGATCTGGCCCCACTAGTACTGAATAAAGATAAAATATAGCAGGGATCAGCTGTTTTGGTTGTTTGTAGACCTGTCTCTTCCATGTTTTGTGGCACTGGAAGAGCCTGCCCAGGGAGGTGGTTGAGTCACCATCTCTGGAGGTGTTTAAGAGGTGGCCAGATGTTGTGCTGACGGACATGGTTTAGTGGTGTTGGTAGGGCTAGGACAAAGGTTGGACTCAATGATCTTGAAGGTCTCTTCCAACCGAAACTCTTCTATTAATCTATGATTCTATGATAAGGCAACTAAAACAGACTCATTGGGGAGCTTACTCATGGTGGCAGATTCCTGGATTTGTTCAGTTCCATCTCTCACATTTCTGGTATGTAATGAACCAAAATAGACTTTTTGATTGCTTTCTGTTGTTCTGGCAGAATTAAGGTTCAGTTGAAGAATGCAGTGGACTTACTGAGGCACTTGAAATAAAAAGAAATAAATTATATTCTTCCTCTTATACCACCATTTTGGAGTTCTGTTATTCTTTTATCTATTTCAGCCCAGTCAGCCATTTGGATCCCTTAACTTGAAAGCAGTGACTAATTGGATCAGAACAATAACTACAAAGAAGGAATCCAGCTAACACAGTGAGAGGGTTCGTTGTTTGACAGCTACAAAAATATTGCATCATTGCTACGATTCCAGCTGCTTGCCAACAAGGAGACTGCAGATCTCTGCCATGCAGAATGTCCTTCACTACCAAACAAAAATTACTGCTATCAAGTTAAGATAATCTTTTTTGTCCTATAGCGTAGTATTGATTACAGATATTATGTGATGAGAGGTTTTATACTTTCCTTTGTATTTCCTTGGTCCTGTAGGTTACTACAGTGGTCAAAGTAAATATGCATAAAATGATGTGCAAACCAATTATTTGTCTGAATGTTACTAAAATACAGCCAGACGCTGTTCTTTTTTTTTTCCTAAAAAAAAAAAAAAGAAGGTATTTTGTTTAGATTGTAGCTTTATGGGAAGAGGGTCCACCTATTTTTTTTTCCAATATGTGTGCATTGACTGCCAGCGCAATGAGCTTTCAGTCAAAGCCTGAGTATCTGAAATAACAGGCCACAGCTCCAAAACCTCTAGGCAATAAATCTTGACTTATACTTTTCCTTTTCTTACTTTACTCCTATGCCACGTGCCTTCCACAGTGTAATAGTTGGTGAGGAGAACAGGATTTAAGAAAAGTAAGTGAGGAACTAGAGTCCCTGTTATCATTAGTCACATCTAATAAAGGTCTCCCCTTTATTAGCTTTACCAGTGTGGTGTCAAGGAGACAGAGAACAGTCTCCTCATGAAGTGAACCAATGCAGTTTGTCAGATGGGATTCTGGGTTTTGTCCCAGCACACGTGTTTAGAAAACTTGCAGTTGTATCTTATTAATGAAAGGAGTGACATCATTGTTTGCAATTGAAAGAATAGTTGAGGAAACGCTGTCGTTTAGGGCTGGTTTCTGTTAGTGAGCTCGTGCATGACGGGCGTCCTTGGCAGCTCAGGTGCAACAGCGCTGCAAGTCGGCAGCATCTGCTCCCGCTGAAATAAGCGGGGCAGCTATTTCTCAGACATCCCATGTGTCTACAACAGTGAGTGCATTGAAACTAAGCTGCTTTTCCCACAGGCCAGCTCATGGGCAGGGCTTACTGGCTGAGATGCAGTTTCTCCAAGAGCCTACTCTTTCTGACCAATGCAGGTAAATCTGCGATGTGCTGTGCACAGAGATCAACACAGTTTTCTTTTGTGGAGGGTGGGTATCTTGCCAGTGTCAGAGGGCAGGATTAGTAGAGTGCTTTGATTCAGCTTACTGCTGGAAAAATACATACCTTCAAGCAAAAAATGATCCTCTCCTGGGAGAAGTGTTCATAGAAATTGTTTATAATATGTGCTAAAAGGTAGATCACATGTGATAGATATGGGGCTACATATGTATCAGTAGAGATTTCATGTCCCCAGCATCTGAATTCCTACATCCTCCATTAGTTTCCCATCACTGCAAGAGGAGTGAACAATGAGTGAACAATGAAAGTAATAAAGATGCAGGTATGAACCTCTTACAATTATCTGATAATGAGCATTTGGAAATAGTTAATAGATGATTTATTGTAGCACAGGTTCTTGAAAGGATGAAAAAACGCCACCTCTTTGTGTCCAAGGCATTTGCTATACACAAAAAGAATCTCCCAAATAAACCTTACAATCATTTGCCAAGCTCCAAAAGGTGATGGAAGCTGGAGAGACAAAGCTTGCAGTAGTTTGTTTTTAATTTGGAGATATTTACTTTGCATATCTGTAAACTTCAAGTTTCTTCCAGGGCAAACAAAAAATTACCCGTGAGATTAAATTATCACAATAGTCTCAGTTCATTTTCCAGTTTCATGCTTCTCATTTCTTGCATGCCAGATTTCATTCACCTTTATTTTTGAGCTGATTTCCTAACCTCTGTGTCATGGTAATGTTAGCAATGCAGACGAGGTGAGTTAGCTACGTGAGTGGAGTGAGACAGGAGGTGGGCTCTCCTGCCTGTGGAACAACATGACCCATCTGCTGGTGAGACGGAGGGATAAGAGGTCGGATGAATGTGTTTCACAGACCAGGAGAGGGAATGTGAGCTGTGACTTTCTCAGCGGCCTGGGCTGTCCCTGGACGTGTCCATGTGTGAGGTGGCAGAGCCCTGGTGGCGGCTGGGACACAGGTACAAGGGTCTCCCCAAGCAGGCTGGGGAGACCCTGCTTTCCCAAAGTATTCAGGCATCTGGGACATCCAGCTGAGCAAGCTGCCAAGGAGCTTGTGAAACTCCAAAAATGCTGTTTCTCCTGTTGGTGTTAAAAATTTCTGTCACTGTGCTGCTGAAACCAGTATGTTCCCAAGGAGTGTTTTGATGACTTGGTGCTTTCCATCAGAGGAAGAATTCTGTTGAGAGATTACTGGAAAAATCTGCCTGTTGCTATATGACGTGTTGCTGCACATTGCTTTCTGGAATCCAGCATGGTATAAGATGACAAGTTTGAGCTGATAGCTGAGAAGGCGACAGAACCAGTATCAGTCCTGGATATTTAATTTCCTGCTCTAGCTGCAGCTTGTTTCTAAAACTGTGCCTTGTTTGTTTATGGCACAAGAAAGAAAACACTCAGAAAGGCTTTGGTTAACATCCAAGTAGACCATAAAGTGTAAAGTAGCTCCAAGAGCTAAATTTTTGGACCTGATTTGTGTGGTCAGTAGATGGTCAATAAATATTTAAGAGCTACTTAGTAACATTTGATCGGCTTCAAATGTGCCCGGCTGGAAAGACAAGCATATTCAGCACAAGCAGATAGTGGTGTATAAATACATTAAAACATTTAAAAATTAGTCAAGTGGAGGCATCTAAGGAGCAGCTGTACTGCTTAATGTCACTAATGATAGGAGGTGAGGTGCTGGATGACATGGATGACAGTCCTTGTGTGCAGAATGGCTCCTGACCCAAGTTTCTGATCTGGTCGCGTGTAGAAGATGGCAGCAAAACATCTTTTGTGGTCTGTGAGGTAGCTGAGGTGGAATAATTCTGATCCTAGATGTTTACCTTTGTGGTGGTCCTGCCCATGCATCGCAAACAGCAGCCCCCATGGGGGTCTGCTGCCATGGCAGTCTGTGAGCTTGTCTACAGGATCTCAAGGATACAGCTACAAACCCAATCCAGATTCCTGTTCAGCTCCTGCCTGACTGAGGAGGTGCTAAAATTCCGTGGATATCTGCTTAGAGCAGAGATACTTGAGCTAGTTTTAAACAGTAGTGGCCATTGAGCAATACTGAGAACAGGGCAAACAAGGCACACACATAATTCCCAAGGCAAGACTTTTGTTTATGGGGCATATGCAAATACTCATGCCCCAACAGAGCTCAATACTTAGCTCTATCTGGGTTTGCAGATTCTGCAGGAGTACTACTGGCATTTATTCTCTGGAATTTGGGTCTTCTGGACTGGACTGTACAGGGGTCACAGGCAGAAACAGGCTGGTGCCTGCAGCTCTGCTTGCTGCTCAGGTGTGAGAAAGCAAAGGGCAGTGCATTGCGATACTGAATATTGCAGTCCCTTACATTTGGGTGCTTTGAGACACAGAAAAAGTATTTAGAAGCCTAGAGTGCCACTGTGACAGAAAGTAAGTTAAAAAAATGGAGTTTTTCCTGTGTAACTGGAGAAGCTTGAGGTGAAGACAATGATATCAGCTGCTTTTCAGGTTTCAGTGGCTTGGATCCTCCTTATGCAATGAAGAGGTAGTGCGGGTGCAGAGTTCAGGAACTGTGATTTCTTTAGACAGAAAGGCACTTAGGAAATTAGAGCTAGGATCCCTAGCCTCGCCCAACTTGGAAATAGAGTGGTTTGAACAAGGTCATTCAGGTAACTTTTCCATTACCTTAGTGCATTCATATTGCTGGCAGTATTTTAAACCCAGATGAAATTCCAAATGAGATGCAGAAAACTGAACCACACTGCAGATTCTTGCATTTGCACTTACTAAATTAATTTAACAACCTGAAACAAGACAGAGAGCATGGCAACTGTAGTAAAAATAGGTATAAATACAATTTGGGCCATTTAAAAGTTCATGCTTCTTATAATTTGACTGCATAATGACAGCAGAAAATAACTCACTCTTCAAAGTCTTTCTGCATATATATCTAAGCGGAAGGTGCTTGAGTGAGCATGTTCAGTAATAGCATGGATAAAAAAGGAATAGTTTTTGCCTATGACTTCACGTACCTTCTGGCATAATGCCTTCAGGTAATACTAGATATGATTAGATTAGATAATATAATGATGTGGTTTATTTAATTGCAACTACACGATTTCACTAGAGCTTGCAGATGCTTTTATGTTGGCCATAGGAACACCATAAGTTTGTTTTTTCAGGAGCCTTCATGTGTTCAGAATCTATAGGCAAGGTACTAGAAGTGGGGAGTGTCAGATGAAGCTGGCAGGAGCCAGATTCAACGCAAAGAGCAGTTCATGTTACAGACTGTGGACTGTAGAAAAAATCCTTCCTGTTGGATGTTACAGATGCAAAAACTTTAATCTCAGTGGGAGAACTACAGGGGAAAAAATGGGGTTTATTCACTAAAAAAACACATCAGACCTAGAAAATATTTTGGGTTGCAACTGGTTAGAGGCTGAGAGAATACTCTTCTGGGGAAATTACTCACCCTGTTCTTGCTCTTCCCCAGTTGTCCTATGGCTGCTGTTAGAGATAGGATACTGGTGAAGAGACAGCTGTGGTCTCAAGAGCCATTTCATGTGTTTCTTAAGGTTGTCACAGAAAAAAAATATATATACAAAAATAAGTTTTCAATTATTCTTTAGCCAGCCAAGATAAAAATGCTACAAACCTCATCTGAGCAATCTCAGTAACTGAAAGAGCCAAATGTAGTATAGTAGCTCTTTATAAACTAGTCTGAGGTTTTCAAGAAAATATGCCTATTAAAAGTAAATGACTATTCAGACCACTGACTTGTCAGAAAAATATTATATGGTCCTTAGCTAGGAGCTTCTAGATTATAGAGATTGACACCTTACATCCTCTGATATTAGCTCTATATACACTGAGTCCAATTATGCTAGTCTGTTATTAATTTGGAAAGAAACAAACTAGTGTCCATTTTATCTTCCTTTAACTCTTGTGTCTTAACTTTCTCAGAATCTGCATATACAGTTTATGTAGGGGTTTTTGCCATTCTTTAATTTCAGTGAGGTTTCCTTTGTGCCTGCTAACCCTTTCCCTCCTTTGTTTTGTGCTCCAAGCCTTACCCCACCCAGGAATGTTAGAAGTCCAGTGTCACCCTGGGCTTTTCTTCCGCACAGGGAGTAGCTGGGCATCTCCTTAGGGGTTTGTACCCAAAGCTGGGCATTTTTAGGTGACCTGAGAGTCGTTTTGAGCAAAGCCGAAGTGATATGGTATGTATGACAGGAGCCGATTAGTTTGGTGCCTGTGTGACTTAGTCAACTGAAGTCAAAACCTTTGATGGTGACAGCTGGCTGTCACTTGGAACCAGAGTTGATTTTTTACTACTGGTGGCAAAAAGCAGTGGATTGGGTTTTTTTCCCTGTCATCTTCTGATGAAGAGACTGTGATCTTACAGATATGGATACTGCTATTACTAAGGTTCTTTGTCACTTCTGGATTGAGCAGCAGTGGTATAACTGATACGGTAAAGCAGAGCCACAATTGGATGCTATGTTTATAAAATCACCTGTTTGGAGTACTGATGCCAAATATTAAAGAGCCTGCTTTTTGGTGTGTGCTTGTTCTTCAGCTTTGAAATGCTCTTTAGTTCCTTCTGACCGTACCACCAAAACCTTCTGGGGAGGACCTAGGAAGTTGGGCTTTGGCAAGATTTTGAGGAATGGTCCAGGGAAGCAGTGTAATGGTTCTTTTACAGACATTTAGTAAAAGCACAGCGCTCCTCCACATCTAGAGAGCCTACTGTAGATTTCACGTATACATGGAAATAATACAAGCATTACATTTTCTGAACAGTTGTTGGTATGTGGGAAGAGATGCCTATTAGTTCACATAATGTTTACACCTTGTCACTGAGTTCTTCGCTAGTAATCAACAACAAATTGCTGCATCTTAGGATAGACCTATGAAATAGAGGTGTCTTAACTCTTAAAGAAAAAAAAGACAGCGGAAAAATGCAGGTATTACCTATGCAAATAAAATACAAGTTTTAAACTTTGTATTATTTTTTATTGTGTTGATGGCAGTTATTCTATATTGTTTAAATCATGTGCATAGCCTAGAGTTAATGCAGTCTTTCTCTGATAATCAACTCTCAGTTCCAGAATTAATGAATAGGATGTTTTTTCCCTCTGAACCGCAGGATATCCGTGCTTGCTTTGCTAGCCTTTTCTTTTTGCTTTCTCCAGCCCCACTCTTGCCATGGCCCACAGGAATCTGACTGGGAGCTGTAATGTTAACTGTGGATGTAAGATTCATGAGTACGAGCCTGTCTGTGGATCAGATGGAATAACCTATTTTAATCCTTGCCTAGCTGGCTGCATCAATGGTGGAAACCATAGCACAGGGGTAAGTGCTTCACCCACCCATATACAACCTGCGAGTAGCCCTTGGGACTGTTGCTGGTCAAAGACTGCTCTGCTTCTAGTGCAAGCACCCTCCCATCTAAGCTTCAGAGAAGTTGCTCTGCAGCTGTCTCGTGCATGAGCCTCTCCGTGTTTTGAATGCCTGTGGTCCCCCCTTTATTTCAGTTCTGTACAAATTTGAGGCACGAGTTTGTTTGTACCAAATGATTCCTCCAACAAAGTGAGTGTGAAGAGCCGCAGGGTGAGGAGGGCTGGTGTTTCCAGTCCAGGCTCTGAAGTCCCTGACGACAGGGGCTGGTGTGTCTGCTGCTGCTGTAGGGCTCGGGGAAGGGACCCTGTGTCAGTGTCATCTAATTCAACTTTCTGCTGACGCCGGCAGCCGTGTCACACTGTCTTTCTGCAAGCTCATCAGTGTTACTCTGAAAAGCACTTTTGGTTTGCTGGAGTTTTTTTTACTCCCTCTCTGAATGGAAGGAAGAACTCTTCAGGTAGTTGGAAGTGTTTTAAACTCCTGTTTAAATTTAGTTATGGCCTGTTTAATGTTGGTGTCTGTGTCAGCCTTGTTGTTTTGCATAAGTAGCTGTTGCCCCTGCACCAGTATATTGATGGTCTTTTGCTTGCGTGGCTGGATAATCACTGCCCGTGTATACTGCTCTTGCAAAATATTTGGCCATTCTCATAGCCTTTCCCTAAACCTCTTCCAGGCTAAATGAAGTAGTTGTCATTGAACGCAAGTAACCAGAACATAAAGGATGTTAATATTTCACTTTTTTTCTTGGAAATGCATTGCCTGTTACAGCCCAGTCTTCCAGTTATGCTGAACTGGGGAAGTGCATCTTGCTGATGAAGTCACATCATGGAAATTTGGCAGTTTTCAGGACTGGGCACAAGAAAACAACTGGAAAGTAGACTTCGACCTGCATATCAACAGAGTGTTATGGTTGTGCTGATTTTGTACAAAACCCAAACTCTTAAATTCTTCTGTTACAGAACCCTCCTTTAAAAAAGGATAATTAAAAAAGACAGGAAGTAATGTTACATTGATTTTCTCAGGGCTTGATTGTGCTGTCCAGAAAGCTTATTTATAGTGTATCAGTCTCCTGATTTGCAGTTGTGAGCCAGCCTGTAAAACTGGAGGAGGTTAGGTCCAGAGCTGTGCTTTCTCAGGTTGGGTAATGGTCTGAAAATGCAGATTCATACAGAGATACAACAGAGAACAGATTGTTTACTTTATAGGTTTTGGCTTAGTTCTTTTTTTGAGATTATCCTGCTGGTTTTTAGCATTAAGTTGCTTTGGACCAATTGGAAAAGCCTGTGGTTAACTTTCAGCATCTATATAAATCTTATTTGTGCTTTGCTGGGTTGAGACATAGGTTTGATCTTGGCTACATTTCACCAATATCAAACTGACCCTATTTATTCATTTAGTAGGGAGGTACTTTGGGAGTATGTGCTCTTTGCTACAGATTTTGAAAAACACTTAAATCTTATGGTTTAAGAAGAGATCCTTCACGGCCTGAAGTTTTAACTCAATAGCTAATAGTGAATAGAGTAGAGCTCATACTGGTAGTAAAATGCATTTCTTCATTAAATAATGCTTTATATAGGGTACTTTTAAAAACAACAAATGTAAGCTTGTGCTACTGCGTAATAAACAAAATGTTGCTAACCTATAACATTCGTATATAAATTTTAACATGTAGTGGTTTTAAAATTAACCATTTAAAAATTGGGAGTAGGGAAAAAGGATGCCTGTGTACGGTTCATACCTGTTTTATATACCTATTTCTATACTCTAGCATTTCTCTGTCGTCATGTCTGTCTCCTTTAGTACATAGATTTGGTTTCTCTAGTGATGAACCGAGATTATGTAGTAAAGAGGACTGCTTTCTGTAGAATGCCTGTTTGATATTTGCATTTGGAAGCAATAAGGAAATTAAGGTGAGGGACTGTACGAAGAAGCAGATGCTCATATGATATTAGGGAGTGGAGTGTTGCCTTGGGAGACTGGATTCTGTCATTGCCTTCATTCTTAAGGCAAAGTTCCTATTGTTGGGCAGGTCACTTAGACAAAACTTCTCCTGGTTATTAATCTCGTAGTCTTCATATTCTCTGTGATGGACATGAGCAATCACCAGAAGCGCCATTAGTAGAATTACTGAGTGCCTAAATCTGTATCTGAATGCATAGAAGTTACGTTTAGAATATATTAACTTGTATAAAACAGAGAATTTTCTGAAAAAAACCAAAAAGATCCTCTGATTCCAATTGTTTCAATTAGTCACCCACATTTGTGAAACTTCAGATCTGTTTCAGTTACTTAGCTACAAAATAGAGATAACAACATTGGTGCCTCATCTCATAACTGTTTTGAAGATAAATAACTTATTTTTGAAAGAGTTAAGCTGTAACGGTGAGTGTGGTAGAAAAATCCATAAGAAATATGAGTCATTCTGTCTGTATAGAATATGTTTAGTGTGAGGAAAAAAATACCTGGAGCAACATTTTGAAAATGAGAGGTAAAATACTAGATAAATTGATATACTACTGATATATTATTAAGATGTTCAGCTAAATCCCATGGGAAAAAAATACGAGGCTACATAATTTCAAAAATATATGTTAATACTGACAAGCAACCATAATTTCCTGATATTCAGGTGTTAAAATTTGTAACCTTAAGATGGTCTTCCGTGCATGTGTGGTCCTAGGTTTTATGAATGCAAACATTAAAAGCAAAACTCCTTCCTGTAGCATCACAGGAGTCCCAACCTGTTTCTTCTTTAGCACCAGAGTATTCTGATCTGCTGCACACCCCTTTGCTATTAGAGTAGTTGAAAATAGTAGTAGAATAGTAGTAGAATAGATGTCACAGGACACCTGATCTAGCTCATCCTCACCTTGCTCAAATCATAGTCCTTTTTGCCTATGAAATGCTGCTTCTCTATTCAATGTCTTCATCCTAATTTCAGCCTCTTTCCTTGTTCAGGAATCCGTTATGTCCTGCAGTCTCACTGTTTAAGTCTCTGCTTTCCCCGTATTCTCTAGCTTTACTCCTCTCCACGCCTCATCCACATCCACACACACATCCAACTGAAATCGGGGTAGACTTCCACTGAAATGACAGAAGACACCTCCTGAATATGAAAGTCAATGGCCCACCCAATTCTGGAATGTGGCATTGTCAGTGCTGCTTAAGGAGTGCCTTCTCACAGTTCTTGTAATACGATAGAAACATTTTTTTTTCTCTAGCTTCCCTGTTAGAAGTGATTGAATTGTTTAGGCAGAACTTTCCAAAAGAATTCCAGAATTTTTTTTAAACTCAGCCTAAATAAAGCAATGGAAAGGCAGGCTCATCGTGGAGAGTCCTGGCCAGCTTTAAAAATACTTGTTCTTGGGGTAGTGATGCTAGAGTCAGAAGATTCCTGACTGAGGAGCACCATGTACACATGTACGCATCTACATGCACCATGCTGTACCATGTCTCTACACGTCTTTCTCGCACATTTTTTTTCATGTGGAAATATTATTTTTCACTCTTCCCAGGTAAGAAATTACACGGAATGTGCCTGTGTCCAGAGTCGCCAGGTGATCACTCCGCCAACGGTGGGCCAGCGCAGTCAGCTCCGGCTGGTTATTGTGAAAACCTACCTGAACGAGAATGGCTATGCTGTTTCTGGGAAGTGCGATCGAACCTGCAACACACTTATCCCATTCCTGGTATTTCTCTTCATTGTTACCCTTATAACAGCGTGTGCCCAGCCGTCAGCAATCATAGTGACACTCAGGTGAGAACTCAGTTGTGTTTTTTTAAAGTATTTGTGTTGTGCCCCCAATCACCAGTGCCTTTGTCAGTAGAGGCCGGGGCAATACAGCCAAACTCCTTCAAGTTTATGTATCCTTGAAAAGTGAATAGAACAGGGCTGACATGGATAAGGTGGAGCTTGCTTGTATTTAGAATATGTAACATGATAATCCAATTTAGGAAGGGCTTAGTGATTTCCAGGCGTTACAAAGAGAGAACAAGTGAAAGCAGCATGTAAGGAAATGGTTACTCCTGAAGAGATTTTCAGCCTTCTTAGAGCAATGATTTGGATTTTCAAATGCAGATGAAAAAAGTTAGTATTTAAAATTACCATTTTTTCTGTCTTAAAATTGTTCATTCCTGCAACATGTCTGTTTTTGAACCTTCCCTTTTAGCTCAGAAGAATTTTGGACTTGTACTGTAGTAGTGGTGTTGTCACTGTGCTCATTTAAAGATAGAGAACGACACAGCCTTTGTGGGGAAAGGTAGTGTCATTTATTTGTCCATTTGATAAAAAGTGTTCAGATTTTTGGATTGGCTTCTCCCGTCTCTGCCAACTTGTCTGATAAACATGATCAGTCCCTCTAACATCTTTTTCCATTTAAAGTACAGCTTCTGTAAGTGAAATTCAGCCTAAGTTTTAAAGAAAAGTGAGCTGAAAAAACAGAATATGGTCTACTGCTAAGATAAATTTGTGTTTGTATGATATATGTTGCTGTTGTTAAAGGAGGAGAAAGAAGAATTAGAGGAAAATTAGAAAATTATACTAGGATTTACAAAGCGCGCCCATAGTTGTTGCTTCTATTGGTAACTGAAAGACAAAGACACTAGTTTAAAGGTGTTGATTTGGAATCTGAAGCTGAAGAGCTCTCAGAGTTCAAGGAATAAGTTCCTTTCCGACAGAGATGAACTGGAAGAAAAACTGGAACAGAACAGAACAGAACAGAATAGTTGGAAGGGACCTGCAACAATCACCTAGTGCAACTGCCTGACCATTTCAGGGCTGACCAAAAATGAAAACTTCTTATTAAGGGCACTGGCCACATACTGACAGGCTTGTGACATTGACCACCTCTCTGAGAAGCCTATTCCAGTGTTTGAGATGCTCTTCAGAAGCACACCCAAAATGATCAAGAGGCAAATGGGCATTTAGTCTCTGGGACCAGGTTAGAGCTGATCTGAAGTAAATCCCTACAAAACCTGAAATGCTTGTAGGGTAGATGTCAAGTCTTGAACACAAGCTGTTTAGCTGCATAAATCTACTTCTTTTGAGCTGCATTAATTGCTAACACAGAGAGACCTTTTGACCTGGTTTTGTGTAAAATCTCTCCAAATTAAGCTTCTTTAAACCTGTCTCAGGCCTTTTCTTTCTGTGAGAATGGTCCTTCCAAATGAGCGAGATTTTCTTCTGCAAGTGCTGTCTTTATATCTTCTCTCTGATATCCTGAGAATCCTGATGCTCTGCTGCTGCTCACAGTTAGTCCCCTATACAAATCATGGTAAATCTTTGTAATAGATCGTGGAGCTTTAGCAAACACGATGCAGATCAGGACTTGACTTTGCTGTCCTTAGGCTCAGCCATGAACACAGCTCTGAAACCCTCTGGCAGTCACCTCTGTCTCGTCCCCAGCGAGGTACGAGCACTCTCTTGCTATCGTTTTCTCAACTCAGGTGGCTGAGGTTCACTCAGGAGCCAGCTGCTGACACATGAAGGACTGCGCTGTGTCATGTGGTGGACTATGTCTTCCAGTTTGCCTTTCAAAAAATCTACAAAATATGTGCAGAGATCACTGTTAGGACTGTGAAACCGAGTACTTGGGAGTGGGCACATCAGACTTCCCTAGCTCGACTACTGCGTGCACAGTTACAATTCAGAGACCTCTGGCCTTATTCTTTCTGTCTCTGGATTTTCCATGTCTACTAACAGTAATAAAAAACTGTTGCCATTACACTGCAATTATGCAAAGATAAACTACAATGAATGAGCACTAATATTACAGTGAGCTGCGTAAGGGATATCTCTGGGAGGATTTTGTGATCTTAAAAGGATGATGCATGCATATGAACTGTGACACCCTGTGTCCCAAACCGTGGGTCCAAGATTTGTCATGCAAGTTGGTTCTTTGATTTCTCAGTGTAAGTGCTTGACTTCAAAACCTTGATTTTGCAGCTGTACCCCTTTCACTGCAGTATTTTTGGGAGTTTTTATCTTGTATTTCAATGTCCTTAATTTCAGACCTTTAGGTTAGGTTTTTAAAATATTTTTTAAATTAGAAGAAAGTTTGTGGTTTACTAAAATTGTTGTTACATTATGGAATGTTTGGATGTTTCTACTGATGTTTCTCCTAAAGTAGCTTCAAAGTGCTTATGCTATGCAGAAATCTGTTAAATTCAGAATCTGAGTCTGGCTTTCAGCAACTTAATTCTCCATTAATTCTAATTTATATGAAAAAGATCAAGCAAAAAACCAAGACATTATATGAAGGAATAGGAAAATGCTATGAGAAACTATAAACATTATGGATTCTCTTCAGGCCTTGCATAGATAAAGAAAGGTTAAAAGGTGTGATTGATATTTTGATTAAACAGGGACAGGAGACACTGGCTATATTTTTTTCCTAGCACTAAGAGTTAACAATATTGGAAGCTAAATGGAAGAATTTTAGACAAAGATTTTTGGTATCTTTAAACCAGTAGGTAGAGCCAGAACATACCACAATGATTATCTGTTATGGCCGTTTCTTCAGAGGAGTTTTCTTTTCACCTGCTAGGTCCGTAGAAGACGGGGAGCGGCCCTTTGCACTAGGAATGCAGTTTGTTTTATTACGAACTCTTGGTAAGTCTGACAAATACCCAGCGTTTCCACAAAGGCTTGTCACATTCAGCTGAAATGTATCACGAAGGCACCAAAATTCTGTGAATCTGCCACTAATTGCCTGACTAATTTTCTTCAGAACCTAAAATTAGTAGCTTCTGAAAACATCGTAGCTGAGAATCTATTTAATTTTCTTTCTTTTTCCTTACTGACTTTCTAGAATGTTTTTGTCCCAGAAATGTATATTTTTACAGTTTCAAATTTTATTTTAAAATTAATAATCACTAAATATTATTTTTATAAGGATTTTTTTCTTTTTTAGAAAGTAATTTTTACTGTTTTCCACAAGAATAGCTTTTTGCACTTGTAAAATAAGCAATTGATGTTAGTGGGTAATTTCAAATGTTTTCAAAGAAAATTTACAATTTCAGTGGTCTCACTACTTCCAGTCAAACGTTTTACAGTCTTTGGGGCTTTTTCTCCTTACTCTAAAGCAGCAGCCCCTGCTCTTTCTCAGCTCATGGGCAATGAATGGTCAGCAGGTTGTGATCTGGAGATAACACTGTATTTTTTTTGCTTCCCATATTTTATTTCCTGAGAGTACCATTGGATTTTCTTTAGGAGGACACATAGTTGAAGAAGAGCTTCAGGGGACTGCAGGTTGAAGCAGTACCTGTTGTAAGGTGCTGCTGTATTGTCTTTATTGCTCAAATTCTTTCCCATTTGTGGTACAGTTCATGCGTGGGATAAGTAGTGTTGGTGGGAGGATCGACTGACCAGTTTTCCATGTTTTACATTGCATGTGAGAACAGTGATGTAGAAATCTCAAAAATTCTTGACCTAAGCTATTTGACTGAGGCATATAGTTTCCTAAGAAGTCCATTACTCTATGCTAACACATATTATTTCTGCTGCTATTTTTATTTCAGCTTACATTCCCACTCCAATTTATTTTGGGGCTGTTATTGACACCACATGCATGCTTTGGCAACAGGATTGTGGCATACAAGGATCTTGTTGGGAGTACGATGTTACCTCGTTTCGTTTTGTCTACTTTGGGTTGGCAGCTGCTCTCAAGTTCGTGGGATTCTTTTTTATTTTCCTGGCCTGGTATTCCATTAAGTGTAAAGAAGAGCAACTGCAGAGACGGAGGTGGAGGGCTTCGCCAGTGAACACTGTGAGTGAGATGGTCGGCCAAGCTGGACCCCAACAAAACTATGCACGGACTAGATCCTGCCCTACCTTCAGTTCCCGAGGAGACATCAGTGTGGCACAAGGAATGAACTGCGTAGCACAGACATACCCCGGCCCTTTTTCAGAAGCAATAAATTCCTCAAATGAAAATGTGTTGGAAGAAGTCACTGCTGAGATATAGAACCCTGGCTTGGTAATGTCATATTTAGTTTTGTTGGTTGACTTAATTACGGCGCCTTGTAAAACACCTGTGCCTTCTATTTTTAATCTAAATGTAACACGTGATAAAACCAACAAAGCTCAATGCAAACAACCATAGTGTGTTCCTGAGGGCTGGATACCTCAAACCAATCCAAGTTCTTATTTCTCCCCTCCCGACAACGGAGTTTTAAAAGTTGTGTCTGTAATGATTTCAGATATGTTCATTAAATGTCCATGCTCTGATCTAATATCAGTGTAAGGGTGAGGTATTACGAACAGCAGAAGACAGTGGAAGAGTGACAAAAACTCATATAGTTATGTCTAGATGTCACAAAAATGCTTAAATGTGTTGTCACCTTCATATCCGCAAATCGTATTTTTAAGAGATGAGTAATTACTGTGAGTTCTGCTACAAAGCACAACTGAACTTGTTTAAACTATGCAACTTGTTTGGATAATTGTATGTGCAGCAAATTAAGTTTAAAGTTTGCTTTTAAAACATTACTGTAACTGAATTTGAAAGGGGCTATTTTCAGACATAAGCATTAAATTTAAAAAGAACGTAAGGTTTGAAGTACTGTTAATGACGTCCTAAGCCATACAGAAATGATGCATCAGGTACTGTTTGCAAACGTTGAGTTATAATATCTTTATCCTGTCAAAATGTGCATTAATTTTCATCTGACGGGATGTAGTTGTTCTTCTCAAAGTACACAAGCTAGGAAAGTATAATGCTTGAAGTAAAAAGCTTCAGTATTAATTTATGATAATGTTAAGATTTAGGAATCATACACACATACCAGAGTGGATACGTGCATATTTCTGTAATGTCATTTGTGTGGCTGGTTACTAGCACCAGATCCATACTGTTCCTGAAGAAGAAAATAACCAGTTATAGCCTGCCTGATGGGAAGAGCTTAGATGTCCTTCAGAAATGTGTACCAGTAGAATTCAGCTTGGGTGAACAAACCTCGGGGGAGAGCCGACAGTCTCGTTTTGTGTCGGAGTGGCCGCCAGGCACCCTTGCAGCCAGTGTCAGTGTGGGATTTGGGCTGGCACCCCTCACTGCCCATGGCAGGGGTGGGTAGTGAGACCCCTCAAGTGGGCTGCGAACAGCCTGCCCCACCACGGTGCCTGATGCAAGACTTTCTCCCCCACCCCTGGTCCTGCCCGGGTGCTGTGCTCCCTGACACTAAGCACGGCTGGGGAGGGAGTGCCGACTCAGACCCTGGGTCCCTCTCATTTCTGCCGAACTTCTGCCTCTCCTGCTTGCCTGGTGCTGGGCAGGCTGGTGGGACAGGTCCTAATTGCGTGGTTTGTCCCACGTACGGCCGCCTTTCCTTTTCTTATCATCACTGAAAGCTTCTCTGAAGGCAACGGGTGAATCTTCTCTTCTTTGCCCTTCCAGAGGAAGAGCTAAGGATAGAAATTGTCTGCAAGTGTGAACCCACAGGATGTGATGTAGCCTTTGCTTATTCCAAATTACTGTAGTGTATTTTTTCTGCAGGAGGTGCTGAGGCTTTCTAGTCAAATATACTTGACATTTCATTTCTTGCTTTGGAGGCTTTGTAGTGCCATGCTTATGATGTACTAATGATGTCTCAAAGGACAAAAAATGATTACAGGTGGACACTAGAAAGTCAAAGCTGTATTTTGCCCTGCAGGGAAAGTCTTAGAAGTTTAGGAAATTAAAAGCACTCTTTTAATAGGACTCATTGATAGTCAAGTTTGGATTTAGCCATGTAGAGAGCTTGCATGAACATGAATAGGAAAGAGAAGAACTTCTGTATACTTTTGAACGGCGTTATTCCTGGTTTCATATTTAATTTATAATATGCAAGTTGATCAAATGTTATCTGGAACCAGGCCATTGAAATTAAAGGCAGTGCTCTTCTTGGCATCCACTGAGTTGTCCTGGGAAGACTAGATTTCCCTCCTCCTTTGCCAGCTACCTTTTCTCCTGGCTCTTCTTGGCCACCACATGGGACTACCCACGAGGCTGGTTCCCTTGCTTTAAATGATGGCTGCTTATTTCAGAATGTCACAGTCCATTTATGTGGCTCTTAATGATTCCCACTCTCTCTGTCTGCAAACTCAGATGCTTCTACCCAAAACTACAGTGTACAGAAGTATCATTTTAGTCATGTCCTGGTATTCTGTAAATACTAATAGCTTTTCTGAGTCAAGCCTGAGAATTATTTTTTCTCTTGTGCAGCCACCAGATATAATACATCCTCAGTCAACGTGTACCACCTGAGATACTAGCTTTTACACTTCTCATCCCAAGAAGTAAATTTACTTGGCTCAAAGGTATTGGGTATTTTTTTTTTGCCATGGGAGATCAGAATAGATGATAAAAATGTTTCCTTTTGCTCCAGTCTCAAATGCATCTTGCACTAGGAATTTCTTGCCCTGGCAAAAATTGAGGAAAAACAGTAGGACAGAGCTTAACGCAGCCCATCGCCCATCCATTTTAATCATTTGCCTATTTTAATCACCATGGGGTGAGATGAAGAGCGGCAATCTTTCCAAATACCTCAGAAACAGAGCATTTATGGAATTGTGAAAGACTGGAGATGACTCATCTGTCTTGATCTATTCTCCTTCATGCCTTGTGTGCTTCTGTTCCATGCGAATAACAAGGGAGAGCAGATCAGGCTTGTAGGATTGTCAGAAGCTGACACTGATGGCAGAGAACAAGAGTGATAGAAATGACACATCTGCAACTGCTGCTGCCTCTGAGCTGATTTCAAGGGAAATTCAGAACTTGTTGGAATGGAGACCACCTGTTTTTTAGGAAATCCTGACTCTCAACATCTGAAAAAATTCATTTTTTGAAATATCTGAGGAACTGGAATGTAGAAGGAAGTATATTCACTTTAGAAATACTGAAAAAGCCTTGTTTATATACTTTCAATAGCCTTTTAATTTTCCTGTCAAAATTTTATGCAAAAGTGTTCATTACTTTTCAAATCCATTAGTATTTTTGTATATAGATAATTTTGACAGTGTGAATATATTTCTACAGAATCACTTACTGAAATCCACATCCTCTAAAGGAAAGAAAACCCAAATTCTGACTAGTTTTTGATTGACACCTGAAGGAGGCTTTATTGTAAGCTATAATAGTCTAAACTAAGCCAAGAAAGGCACGCAGGGGAAACACATTAACTTCCTAGAGAAGTCAATTCTGGCATTGTCAACATTGACTGAAATATGGACTGAGACCTGCTGAACAAACACTATTTTCTGATTGTCGTTGCTGAAGGAAGCAGAATCTTCCTCCTGTGAAATCCTCAGACCATAGAATAGAAAAGAATAATATAAAATTCTGTTAACTTGTAATTTCTGCCACCTTCCCTCTCCAGCCCCGAGCACTGAAGTTTGGATAGCAGCAAATACAAGGAAAAGGTAAAGCAGGTGTCCTGCTCAACCACATGCTGCTCTCGGTAGCAAACCCAAGTCATCTGCCTGCAGTTAAGCAGCCAGCGATAATATGGAGAACAACATCCTACAGTTAACTACAGGTCCACAAGGTGCCATCAAGCCATCACAAGGGCAGGCTAATTTCCTCTTGCAACACTTACTCCGGATTTAGAGTGAGGGACATGAGAGGAGAAGAAGCCTCGATATGTCGACTTGTCTGAACAGGTAGTCATCCCTTATTTGTCTTCCATTCATCCTTGTTTCTTCAAAAGGGTAAAACTTCAGAAGGCATGTAGCCATGGCACTTGTGAGTGCTGCACCCTCAGAAGGTGGCTCGTAGAGCTTTCTTGGGGCTGGAGTATCTGGAGAGCATTTCCATTTCTAGCCAAAAGCCCTGGTGTTTTGGTCCCCCTTCTTTCCTATGAGCATACTGGATATAGTGTGGTGTAATTTGGAACTGGCAGCATTTTATATCCTTTCAGCACAGTGTGAGCAGCTGCAGGAAACACAGTGAATATTATGGTGCAATTTATATTTAATTGGAAACTTTCAGTTCTTTGACCAGGCATTGTATCTTTAAAAGTGCTTGTAGTGACCTGCAATTCCTCAGAACTTGCCATTCGGTAAGTGAAGTAGGTGCACAAATCTCCTAGGTATTAGAAATGTAAGTTTTAAAGCTCATAAATTAGTTACAAACACTTGACTGTAGTGTTTTCAAAAATAGGGTTTTATTTTTTTAAATATAGTTTATTAATTCATAGCATTAACCATTCATTATGGCTCTGATCCAGCAGAACACTTAGATATGTATGCAAGTTTATATACTTAAGTAATGCACTTCAAAATAATGCATGTATGTAAGTACTGGACTGAATCCTATCTGCATTCAGAAAGGATTTATTTTCCCTGTGGATTCAGTGATCATTGTAACCAGAATAGCACAAAGTAGAACTTTAGTACTACCTTGTGACATTCATGTGTGGCTACTTATGCACGTGGCAATGGAGGAAAGCTTTCATTTTGAAATAGAATTCAAATTCAAAATATTTTGTGAACATGCTCAGAGATACATTCTAGATATTCCTGCCATTCACTTATTTTATGAGTTTCTGGCTGAAGATCTGTGCATTACATGGGGAGAAGGATCAAATGAGGGCATCTTTCTGACTTTAAAGCCAATGAAATTGCTCAAGTGATGCTGTGGGTTCGGACTGTACCCTTCCAGAGAATTTGGACCTAGAGGTTCAGATGACAAATTTTCAGTGCCCAGCACAAAAGGGGCAAAGTGCTGCCTACTGCAGACAGCACAGCTGGGAGAAGGGTCAGCACATTCTGTACTGTTCTTGTGGGTTTTCCCCCTAAATGCCTGAATTATTGCTGCCTTACTATGCTTTCTATCTGTGTAGTGCCACAGCTCTTTGTGGTGTTCTCTTGACTTAAAAATGATGATAAATAGGTCCAAAGTGTCTTACTGCTATTTTGGAGCCAGATTCTCAGCCTCCTCACTTTAATGATGAGGCCAAAGAACTGAGCCAGTACCTTGGGCTGGACGTT